TGAAGCTGGTTTCCTTTCAGTTTATGTTGGCTGCAAATTCTAGAACCTAGAGCTGTGAGGAGACCTAGAATGTGAGATGGGCCTATCTGCAGGTACAAGTCTATCAGTATGACCAGTTTGTTGTTTTTTCAATTGTAACTATAGTTCTGGTCAGTACTCAGGTCGTCAATGACAGTTGTGTAAGTCAACGAGTGGAGGCCAATGTGTGATTTTTCTAAAGCTCGGATTTATTTAACAGTGTAGAGTCAGCATTTGTTTAAGATCAGAGTCTTGCTATCAGTCTGGATCGATGTCTGAGTGGCAACTTGTTGGTGTAGGTCACAATTCCAGATTAGCTTCTTAATCTTCACTCTCCTCACTGTGCAACTGCCCTTGCACCTGTGTTCGTGTTGGTGCTGTCCTCTAATGGCCTGCAGGTTAGGTCACACGTTCCTCTCTCTGGAGCCAGTTCTAATGTTATCTGCCACTCTCCAGCTGGTTTCGTGTCATCTTTCTCTGCAAGGTGAAATACCTACAAGCCTTTATCACAATTTTTTTGCAGCTGGGTAGTGTTCCTCCTTCACCATGGCAGGGAACAACGTAGAATCTCCAACTTTCATGAACACTAGTGTCATCCCGCCTCCCCATCAAAGAACAAACCAATTGATTCCATTTTCTCTTATCATATCAAACTCATCTTCTGGAGTTTACTGACAAGTTTCTTACCAGAGCTCCTCCTTGCGTATGATCTATCACCCAGGTGATTAGACATCATCAGGTGTTATCAAACCACCGTCAACCCGACGCTGTTGCTATCTCTGATTTCGTTAGAAACCGGTGTGATTGTCACTTTATGCTGTGATATACTCCGGGATATCGCTTCCTATTTCGAATCTTATGCCTGGAAGTTTGGGATCAGTGTTATTTTCTGGGTTAAGACGTCACCCATTCTCTGGTCAACCTCCGGATCAGCCATGGGGAAGTCATTGGCTCTGAATCAACGGCTCAATCATCGGCCTTTTACTCACCCTAGGCCTTCTCAGAGTCTCTTTCCTCAACGCTCTCTTCTCCTCTTCTGTCTCTCTGTGGCAGCCTCCTGTCTCTTAGACTCCGGAATATCTGGCTACAAAGAAATCATGAGAGCCCTATACGCCAGTCTTCTCTCTCTGTGCTGACAAATGCCAGTTCGATCACAAGAATCTTCAGTTCACGCTTGCCAAATACAGGAGATGTGGGCCTCGGATTTGGTCACGGTCATCAAACTCAGGACCAAGACAATTGGGCTTACAAGTAATTATATTAAATGTGGGTCCAGTTGCTTGGCAAAGCTGTCATAACTTTCGTTTCCTCTCCCAAGAGATATCTCTTGCCTTTTTAACCCTGACTGGCAGTCTCTCACCTAATCTTCTTCTGACTTTGTTATGACTGGAGCAGACTGAGCCCAGTGGCAGAGTGTACTGTGCCAAGACAGCTTTGGTCATATCACTGGCATCTCGCATTTGTGTGTAAGTTCTTTGGTTCTTTCACTGGTTGCCTGATTAAAACACCGTATCTCAAGCATCTCTCCAATGTAGGCAACTCCGACTTCCCAGGGCTCTCTCCCAGACTAGATAGTGACTGAGATGGCTGGATTTTGGTTCTCGTCCTGGCAGCAGCCATCACAAGTAGCTATCAGCCCATAAATACTCAGAATCTGAAACAGAAAAAAATATTTATTTATGGTTGGGTTGTTGAAAGTAAAGTCAGAAAGCAATGTTCACTATTTAATTGTAATACTAATGCAGCTGGCACATTGGGTGTGATAAAATTTCACTAAAATTTACCCTAGCAAAGGTTGCAAAATATTGTTGTTATTTTCTGTTTATATACTAAATCTACCAAAAAGTGATGGGCCCATTAGTTTGGCAATCTTCCCTCATAACCCACCCTAATAGGAGTGTGCCTTATTTCATCTCCACCGGGATCAACTGTGGTGCAGATAAAATTGTCCCGAGTGAATGAATAAAGATAAGAAACATACCTTAAATTATAACAGTAGTAAGTGTTAAATGAAGATGAGGCTCACAGCACCTCGGCGACTTGTTCTCCCTGTCTTCTCTGTCGTGGAATCGAGCCACTGTTACCTACATTGCCTGTGCACCGCGGGACCTACTGGCCAGCTGTTAATACAGCTGAGTACAGTATTTTTCACCCTTGTATATGTGTTTTATGTTAATTTTTTTAAAGAATATTATATAAAAATAACTTGCATATTTTTCACGTCTTACTGTTTATACTGTGTTGGGTGTTGTCATGTCAACCATGAGTGTGGCGTCAGATATTCAATTTAGCAAAGTAATGCTATAATAACTAAACCTACCATAAAACTTAACTAGAAAAGTTCACAATACAACCTGATTGTCATTTGTTGCATAATTAGGCATGAGTATTACAAGGTATTTTAACTAAATAATTTCCATTAAAAAGCCCCTAGACACACACAGGTAAAGAAATAATTTAAATTTTGAGATTAAAATAAAAGTTAAAGTTAAAGTAAAGGAACTTAAGCCTTCTTAGTTGCTCAGTTTCCGTAACAATATACATGGCCTATGCAGTATGTGGTGCTAATATAGCATACGGCCTCCGTGATACATAGGTTAGGTTAGGTTAGGTTAGGTTAGGTTACGTTACGTTAGGTTAGACTAAAGACATAAAATACAAATAAACTGAAATGTGGTGACGTCTTCAGCACTACATGGTATTTATATACAAACAATTACCCCAAAATAATAATAATAATAAAAATAAAGCATCAATATTAAACTTTATTAAGATACACTGCATAGCAACATACGAGTGACAAAAACAAAAAGGCTAGGTTAAGAACATCATATGCAGGGCTGGATTAACCATTAAGCAAAATAAGCACGTGCTTAGGGCATCAAGGGAAGGGGGGCACCACAGAAATTTTCCATAGCCGGATTTACCATGGACCATATGGTGCAAAACTGCAAATGGTGCAGCTGAACCAAGGTTCACAAAAAGAGGCCCACACATTAAATGAAAAAAATACATACATATATATAAAATGATTGTAGAAGACAATATTGAGTGTGCCTTTCCAAATGTTGATATTGGCTTTCGTATATTTTTAACATTAATGGTCACAAATTGCTCAGCTGAGCGTTCATTTTCTAAGTTGAAGTATATTAAAAATCCCATCAGAACAACTATGCAACAAGGCAGGTTGGATGCCTTATCTCTACTAAGTATAGAAGCAGATGTGTTACATAAGACTAGTTTTGAGGATCTGATCAAAGACTTTGCAATTAAAAAAAGTAGGAGAAAACTTTCCAACTATAAATAAAGTGGACGTATACAAAAATAAACATTATTTTCCATCTTACTGTAAATTTTGTTTAATTTCGAAAAATAACATTTTATTTTATGGTTTATTATTGTTTATATTTTGAATTACATATATATGGGGGGGGGGGGCACCAAAATCCTTTAAGTGCTTAGGGCCTCTAAGGGTCTTAATCCGGCCCTGATCATATGTGACAGCTAAAGTAAAGAGTCAGTTACAAACACAGCACATTGTCCCTCTCCCTTGATTTCGAGAACACAACATTTTGTGATACATGCACGTACCAGTAGCCAACATAGGGGGTTAAATGTTTCACTATTCAGCACCGTTTCTCATCATTTCCAGACATATATGAGCATCTACAAAACCTCTGTGGTTCTTACTGGTCACATACGAACTCACACAGTACAGATTATCAGTAAGCACATCAAACGAAAATGTCGCTTCCAATAGTAATAAGACCTCAGGGCGTGTTGGGCAGAGTTGCTCCCTATAGGCAGATGATAGCGGTTGCCCAGGTCTCTGCAGGCAAAAAGTGCCCACCAAACCGTGTTGCTAATGTATTAGATAGGAAGGTACCGGTAGTATACAAATTAATCTTGTATTACAGCCTTAATCGTGTGCACAGTATCCACACTTTCATCCATACTGGAACCTTTATTAACACCTACACCATCACACGATCCCTTAAACTGTCGGGCCCGGCATGACAACCCTACACCGGTAGATGCCTATGGGACGGGGCCTAACAGACCTCCTATCGATAAAAGACTTTCCTGGACTGGATGTGGCAAAACCTTCTCTTTCATGTAGAAGCAGCTGGCTTTAAAACACAGGTGAACTGGCGTGCCCACAGGTCTTGCGAGCAGTAAACATTGCAGCCCCCCGTCCAGTGAGGGCGAAGGTGGTGGCAAGTGTCTACAGTTGTTGATTCCATAATTATCCTGGGTCATGCTGATGTTGTGGGTATCGTGTTGAATGTTGTAAGTGTCATGTTTTGTTGTGGGTATCATGTTGAATGTTGTAAGTGTCATGTTGTTTGTTATAGGTGTTATGTTGAATGTTGTAGGTGTTATGTTATTTGTTATAGGTGATATGTTGAATGTTGTAGATGTTATGTTATTTGTTATAAGTGTCATGTTATTTGTTATAGGTGTTATGTTAAATGTCGTAGGTGTTATGTTGAATGTGATCAAAGTCTGGTGATACAATTTTCTCTGTTTGAGCCACCTCCTGACCACATCCTGTTGGTGCCCCTCCTCGTCTCAGTCATCTGCACAAATATTAATGCTGGATAAATATCTCAGTTTGTTAATGATTATTTTAATATAACCTAACCTAACCATACCATAATCGAACCTACCTTAACCTAACCTAACCCAAACGTAATCTAACATACCTCAACCATAATCTAACCTACCTCTAACCTAACAGAACTTAACCCAACCTAACCTAACCTACTCCTAACCTAACCTAACCTAACCAAACCTAATCTAAGCCAGACCTAGCGTAGCTTAACCTAATCTGATCTACCCTTAACCTAATCAAACCAAACCATAACCTAACCTAACCTCACCTAACCAAACCTAACCTAACCATAACCTAACCTAACCTAACCTAACCAAACCTAACCTAACCTGACCTAACCTAACCAAACCTAACCTAACCTGACCTGACCTAACCTAACCTGACCTAACATAACCTAACCAAACCTAACCTAACCTAACCTAACCTAACCTAACCTACTCTAACCCTAATAATATGACTAAGGAGTCAGTTTACTCACCGAAACTCATTCACTCATCAATGAATAAAACATATTATTGTTAGTTCATCAAAGCTTATTATTTTATCAAAGCTTATTAAGTCATCTAAGCTTATTAATTCATCAAAGCTTATTAAGTCATCAAAGCTTATTAATTCATCAAAGCTTATTAATTTATCAAAGCTTATTAATTCATCTAAGCTTATTAATTCATCTAAGCTTATTAATTCATCTAAGCTTATTAATTCATCAAAGCTTATTAAGTCATCAAAGCTTATTAAGTCATCAAATCTTATTAATTTATCAAATCTTATTAAGTCATCTAAGCTTATTAATTCATCAAAGCTTATTAAGTCAACAAAGCTTATTAATTTATCAAAGCTTATTAATTAAACTTTGATTTATCTCCAAAGCATCATTTATTTTACTCAATAACACCATTCAGAAACTCATGGACTGATATCAGTAACTCAAGGTTTATACAAACGAATTAACTTAGTAACTCACGAATTAACTCAGTAACTCATGGCTTGCACTTAGAAACTCACAATTTGAACTCAGCAGCTCATGGATAGAACTTAGTAACTCACAATTTGAACTCAGTAACTCACAATTTGATCTCAGTAACTCACAATTTGAACTCAGTAACTCATAGATTGAACTCAGTAGCTCACAATTTGAACTCAGTAACTCGTGGATTGAACTCAGTAACTCACAATTTGAACACAGTAACTCGCAATTGGAACTCAGTAACTCATGGATTAAACTCAGTAACTCATGGATTGAACACAGTAACTCACAATTCGAACTCAGTAACTCATGGATTGAACTCAGTAACTCATTAGATTGAACTCGGTAACTCACAGTTTCAACTCTCTACCTTTCGGTACTCACCAAACGTTGTTTTCTTAAGTTGAAGATTTGCAACAATAGCAACAGTACACCTTGAAGGTTGCTTACTATGACACCTGCTGCTGACCTGCCGAAACCAAGATAGGGATGAGACGTCACACTATGCACGGGGTCAAGAGGTCACACTATGCACGGTGTCACGAGGTCACACTATACACGGGGTCAAGAGGTCACACTGTACACGGGGTCAAGAGGTCACACTATACACGGGGTCAAGAAGTCACACTATACACGGGGTCAAGAGGTCACACTATACACGGGGTCAAGAGGTCACACAATACGTGGGGTCAAGAGGTCATACTATACTCGGGGTCAAGAGGTCACATATATACACGGGATCAAGAGGTCATTCTATACTTGGGGTCAAGAGGTCACATGTATACACGGGGTTAAGAGGTCACACTGTACTCAGGGTCAAGAGGTCAGACTATTCACGGGGTCAAGATGTCATACTATGCACGGGGTCAAGAGGTCACATTGTACACGGGGTCAAGAGGTCACACTATACAGAGGGTCAAGAGATCACACTATACACGGGTCAAGAGGTCACACTATGCACGGGTCAAGATGTCACACTATACACGGGGTCAAGAGGTCACATTATACACGGGGTCAAGAGGTCACACACTATACGGGGTCAAGAGGTCACACTATACACGGGGTCAAGAGGTCACACTATGCACGGGGTCAAGAGGTCACACTATACACGGGGTCAAGAGGTCACACTATACACGGGGTCAAGAGGTCACACTATACATGGATTAATAGGTCACATAATACATGGGGTCAAGAGGTCACACAATACACGGGGTCAAGAGGTCACACTATATGCGGGGTTCAAGAGGTCATACTATACTCGGGGTCAAGAGGTCACACTATACATGGGTGAAGAGGTCACACTTGTTAGGAGTTGGGGATTTAGAATATGGTTAAAAGTCTACCCAGATCCCAACAGGCAACAACAATAAAAAAACAAAGACAATCAGACTATAAAAGGGTAGACAAAGGATGCGAGTTTTTGTTGTGTATAATAAAGTACCATAAATTCCTTAACAAAATATTCAGCTTTCTATAATTTACCCTTAACCATACTTAACCTAAACATTCATAGAATATACATATTTATACAACATACAATAATTTGAAGCAAGGTGGAGGTGGGGAGGCAATATAAGATTACAAATACTTAAGTGCGGAGCTGAGATGGCTGACGAGTAAGGCTGAGTATTGTAGAAGAAGACAGTAGGTAGTCACTGTGCCGTAGGTTTCCAGGATAGGTGATCCTGTGGTCACTTCCCAGAGTGAACTGAACTCTCATCGAATTGGAGCTGATGAGGAAGACTTGGAGGAGGTGACGCAACAACCAGGATATGGAGAAGGGAAACCCCGGAGTGGTAACTAAGACTAGTCATACTCGGGTTTCGTCCCTAGATGGCGTTGCTCGTGGTGCTGGGTAGGTAGATCATGACAATAGATGGCGTGGTTCGTAGTGCTGGGTAGGTAGATCATGACAATTGATGGCGTGGTTCGTAACACACCCCCCCTCCAAAGACCTCCGTAGCGCGGGCGCGAAGGAGGTGATCACCTGGTGCGTCTGGAGAGTAGCTGCTGCATTTCCACTGGAGCTCGGGATAAGGAGTCCGCAATCAGGTTGTCCACCCCCTTTATGTGCCGGACTTGTAGATTATAGGGCTGGGTGAGGAGAGCCCAGCGGAGGATTCGCTGGTTGGAGGTCTTGTTGGTTTGGATGAACGTGAGTGGGTTATGGTCGGTGAAGACTAGGGTTGTTTGTGGGCAAGACTGGAGGTAACATTCAAACTTCTTTATTGCCAACACCAGAGCCAGGGCCTCCTTCTCTATGGTCGAGTAGTTGGTCTGATGTTTTTTCAACTTGGCGGAGTAGTATGCCACAGGGTGAAGGACATCAGTGGTTGGGTCGGGTTGTAGGAGCACAGCCCCCACTCCGACACCGCTAGCGTCGATTTGCAGATGGAAGGGCAAGGTGTAGTCAGGGGGGTGGACTACAGGCTTGGAGGCAAGGAAGGCTTTGAGGCGGTGGAAAGACTGGTCGCACCTCTGGTTCCAGATGTAAGGGACCGCAGAACTGGTAAGGTCTGTGAGGGGTCCGGCCACGCTGGAGAAGTTACTGCAGAACCGACGGTAGTAGCCGCACATCCCCAGGAAGCGCATGAGTTCCTTCCTCGTCCTTGGAGTGGGGAAGGACAAGATGGCTCTAACGTTTGCGTCCTTGTGTCTCACCATACCATGCCCAACGATATGTCCCAGGTAAGTCACTGAGGCCCGGCCAAAAGCAGATTTAGCCAGGATTATGGTGAATCCAGTCTCTTGCAGTCGTGCGAACAGTATCTCCAAACGCACCAGATGTTCGTCCCAGCCGTCCGACACCACCACCAGGTCATCCAGGTAGGCGAACGTCCCATCTAGGTCCTGAATCAGGTAATTGATTGCCCTCTGGAATGTGGCCGGAGTATTAGAAAAGCCAAACGCCATAACCAAATATTGAAAAAGACCAAATGGAGTTATATATGCTGAGATTATTTTTGCCCTATCCGTGAGTCCCACTTGATAATATCCTTTCAACATGTCCACGGTAGATATAAATTTTGCACAGCCTATGCTGTCTATTATATCTTCAATCAAAGGTAAAAGGTAGGAGTCTGAAACAGTGACCTGGTTCACTTTACGATAATCGGTACAGAAACGAAAAGTGCTATCGGGTTTTGGAATGAGAAGGCAAGGTGAAGACCAGAGGGAGGTACTAGGCTCAGCTAAGTTATGTTTTAACAAAAAATCTACCTCATTTTTCATAATCTTTCTTTTTTGTGGATTTAGTCGATATGCTGATTGCGTAATGGGTTGTACATCATCTGAGATTAGCTTAATATCATGTTTAAGTATATTGCAAAACCCTGGGAGGTCTGACGTGACTTTAGGAAATGTTGATAATAACTTAGTGAGATCTTTTGCTTGAGATGGATTCAGAACAGAAAAATACTCATCCAAGTTGTTGAGTATGTGACTGTTAGCAGGATTTTCTTTAGGTAGAGGGAAGTCTAAATTCTCCAATAGATCCATTTCATCTGTCTCCGGCTCCGGCCCTGACAAAGCCGTATGCAATACAGGTAGGCTTATTGCCTCTAGGATGTCTTCCTCTGACTGCTTCGAATGGTAAAGTTTCATGAGATTAATGTGAACAAGTTGTGAATCTTTTCTGCGATCAGGAGTATGGAGTATATAGTTGAGGGGAGATAGTGTATTAGCATTGACTTGAAAGTTTTGATGGAACCGTTCCAAGCAACCTTGGGATTGTGGGTGGTAAGCCGAAGATGTACAATGGTCCACACTGAGGTCTTTTATATTCAAAGATGGATCAGATTGTTGGGCTTTAATGAGCTCATCCTTACCAATGGTATTATTGTACAGATCTTCTGTGGGTAGGAAGATATTGGAGGTGGTTTTAGATGAAGAGGGCCCATTTCGCACACTCTGTGACCGGGTGACAGCACAAGATGGGAAAGGTGAGGAATAGTTTCTTCAAGGTCAGTGGTGGAGTTGACAGGTAAGGGAGAGTCGACTATCTTTATGTTGGGAACCACTAGATCTCCTACCAAGTCATTACCCAATAATAAATGAATGCCGCTCACAGGCATTGGATCTTTCCAAATGGCTACTTGCACTTTCCCAGTAATCAAGGGACATTGGAGGTGCACTTTAGCTAAGGGATAGGAAGAATGGGATGAGAGATCTGAAATTAGAACACTCTAATTAATAAATGCGGTAGATATATCAGGAATGACGTTAAACAGGAGGATAGATTGTGCTGCTCCCGTATCACGTAGTATACGAATAGGGAAAGAACGAGACCCCTCTATGATTGAAATTTTTCCCTCATAGGTGAATGAAGAGAAGAGATCCTGATGAGGCCTTTCCACATTGGCCGTTGCTATTGGTTTGAATTTGGGATCCAGGGAACTACTTTTAGTAGTTCGACACTTTCGGTGTTTACAAGACTGGATCGCATGGCCTGGGTTTTTACAGTAAGAACAATAAAACTTGGTTGCATCAGGGGGGGGGTGGGTGTGGGACCTTTCGACCTACCACTCACGCCCCAAGGTTATCATCTGAGGAGGACCTTACAGGCCGGAAAGTACCAAGTTCTCTACGGCACAGTGACTCCACCAGCAAGGCGTACTCATCAGCCAGCTCAGCTGCACGCCCTAAATTAACCTCTCCACGCTCCTCCACATGCTTCAAGATGTGAAATGGTATCTTGCTCTTCCACTCCTCCAGGACTACCAAGTTTAACAAATCCTGAAGTGGCCATTGTTAAGAAAACCTAGATAAATTAATTAATGGTCAAAAGATAAGATAAGTGGATTACCCTAGAAAATATCACGGCAGTGGATAACCAGAAATTCCCGGAAACTACCCAAGTTATACCTAGAGAAATTACACTTATGAATATTGTTCTTCTGATAAGATCCTTAAATAAGGATAAGAGACTTGAAAGAGAAAGGGCGTATTACGGCATTTATATAAAGATCCGTATTAACAACCCTGAGTAAACAGGAAGGGCGTATTACGGCATTAATATAAAGATCCGGATTAACAACCCTTAGATACTTGAAACAGGAAGGGCATATTACGGCATTAAAATAAAGATCCGGATTAACAACCCTTGAGTTACTTGATTATTGACCCAGAATGAGATAATGAGAAGAACAATAATTAAGGCTTTATAATTATGGGGTCCTGTTAGAGCGGGGCGTCCCAAGATATCACTTCACCCTAAACTAGTGACTATGAAACAGCCTACTCTGGAGCGAGGGTACGGCATTAAACAGATCCGGATTCTTCCCTACACTCGATAAGACTTACTACACGACTGCCACGTGTAATAACAGGTAAGCCTTATGACACTTGGAACCTAATATCCTACGTCTGTCACTCTTACTGTAAGATAATACCAATATATGCACACACATATGAAGGAAACTTTAAACCACCGTAAAGCAATTGTGAACAGAAGTGACTGGGAGGAATAAT